GCATTCAGGTTTCTTCCAGTTTCTGGCTATTGTAAAGAGTGCTGCAATGAACAAACAAGTGCAGATGTCACTTCGACTATACATTTTTGCCTCTCTGGGATATATTCCCAAGAGTGGTATTGCTGGGTCAAATGGGAGCTCAATTTCTAATTTTTTGAGAATCATCCATACTGTTTTCCAGAAGGGCTGAACCAGTGGACATTCCCACCAACAGTGAAGGAGTGTCCCTTTCTCGCCACATCCACGCCAGCATCGGTTGCTTTTGTTCTTTTGAATGTGGGCCAGTCTCTGAGGTGTGAGATGGTATCTCATTGTGGTTTTGATCTGCATCTCCCTGATGATTAATGATGTAGAGCATTTTCTCATGTGCTTTTTTGCCATTCGGATTTCTTCTTTGAGAAAGTTTCTGTTCATTTCATTGCCCCATTTTTGGATGGGGTTGGATGTTTTCTTCTTGTGGAGTTTAACCAGTATTCTGTATATCCTGGATACCAACCCCTTGTCAGATGTGTATTCGGTGAATATCCTTTCCCATTCTGTAGACTGTCTTTGTATTTTGGTCACTGTTTCTTTGGAGGTGCAGAAGCTTCTTAGTTTAAGATAGTCCCATTTATCTATCTCTGTTTTCACTTGCTCGGCCAGTGGCGTGGCATCTTTGAAGATACCATTAGCTTCAATGTCATGGAGGGTTTTGCCAACTTTATCTTCAATGTACCTTATGGTTTCTGGTCTGATGTTGAGGTCTTTAATCCATTTTGATCTTACTTTTGTACATGGTGTTAGGCAGAGTTCTGAGCCTATTTTTTTGCATGTAGCCGTCCAGTGATGCCAACACAATTTATTAAAGAGGCTTTCCTTACTCCACTTCACATTACTTGCACCTTTATCAAAGATTAGATGAGCATATGATTGAGGGGAGATGTCAGTGTATTCAACCCTGTTCCATTGGTCTGCAGCTCTGCCTTTGTTCCAGTACCATGCTGTTTTAATTATTACTGCTTTGTAGTACAGTTTGAAGTTAGGGAGGTTGATTCCTCCCATTTTCTTTTTCCCAAGAATTGCTTTAGCTATTCGTGGGGGCTTCTTGTTCCATATAAATTTCAGGAGTGTTTGCTCCATTTCTTTGAAGAATGTCATGGGTATCCTTATAGGGATTGCATTGAATTTATACAATGCTTTCGGTAGTATTGCCATTTTGACAATGTTAAGTCTCCCGACCCATGAGCAGGGGATATCTTTCCATTTCCTCATGTCCTCTTTTATTTCCTGAAGTAGCGTTTTGTAGTTTTCTTTGTACACGTCCTTTACTTCCTTAGTTAAGCTGATTCCTAGGTACTTGATTTTCTGGGGCACAATTGTGAACGGGATTGTTTTTTTCATGTTGCTTTCTTCTCTCTCACTGTTTGCGTATAGGAAAGCCATGGACTTTTGGGTATTGATTTTATAACCTGCAACTTTACTATACGAGTCTATTGTTTCTAGGAGTTTTTTGGTGGACGTTATTGGGTTCTCTATGTAGAGTATCATATCATCTGCGAATAGTGAGAGCTTGATTTCTTCCTTTCCTACCTGAATGCCCTTAATATCTTTTTCCTGCCTAATCGCTATTGCAAGTACTTCCAGTACTATATTGAACAGCAGTGGAGAGAGTGGGCATCCCTGTCTCGTCCCTGATCTTAGAGGGAAGGCTCTCAGTTTTTCCCCATTGAGGATGATGCTTGCTGTAGGCTTGTGGTAGATGGCTTTAATTATGTTGAGGAAGGTCCCCTCTATACCCATTTTGGCTAGGGTTTTCATCATAAAGGGGTGCTGGATTTTATCAAATGCTTTCTCTGCATCTATTGATATGATCATATGCTTTTTATCTTTTCTTTTGTTGATATGGTGGATTATGTTGATTGATTTCCGAATGTTAAACCATCCTTGCATCCCTGGGATGAATCCTACTTGGTCATGGTGTATGATCTTTTTGATGAGTAGTTGGATTCTATTTGCTAGTAGTTTGTTGAGGATCTTTGCATCTGTGTTCATCAGGGATATCGGCCTGTAATTCTCTTTCTTTGTGGTATCTCTGTCTGCTTTTGGTATCAGTGTGATATTTGCTTCGTAGAAACTGTTCGGAAGTGTTTTTGATATTTCACTCTTTAATGTTCTTATCAATCAGGTTCCTATTACTATATATCTTTCTTTTTTTCAACATAATCTCACCAGCTGGAGCTGGTGCGATAGCACAGCGGGTAGGGTGTTCGCCTTACAAGCGGCCAACATGGCCGACCCAAGTTCGATTCCTCCGCCCCTCTCGGAGAGCCCGGCAAGCTACCGAGAGTATTCAATATGCCAGACACAGTAACAACAAAGTCTCCAATGGAAACGTTACTGGGCCCGCTCGAGCAAATCGACGATCAACGGGAGGGCCTTTAATTTAATCTCACCAGCTAATTGCATCAACACCCAAGACTTCCTTTACATCTTTAATAGTGGTGGTTTTTTAAGGACTTTGCTGTGATCCATGTCATATATGCCTTACTGACTATGAGTCAGAAATTCTTAGACTTCTGTGAGCAAACCTCTATGCCTTGTTGCAGGATTTAAATGAGCAATTTGTAAATTATATAAATATAAAAATGAGTTTCTTCCTATGCCTATAAACTTTAAAGCCGTAAGGTATGAGGAAATGTCAGAATTATCTCCTTCTAGAATAGTTATGCCAAATTTATGCTATTATGATGCTCCATCTAGTACAATTTTTCATTCAAATTCCCAACAGAAGTTTTACTTAGAGAAGAAACTGGTCAAACCTTTAATACTGACATATTAAGGTCATATATTGAGCCTATCTGTATAAAATAAACCTTATAGAGAATCCATAGAATCGAGAACTTTGTATGCAAATAATAACATAAACTCCTACAGCATATAGAAAGTAATACATAGATCACATTAATCTGTTAGCTTACATTTTTAATATCTCATGAGGTAATGGAATTAATATATTAGTTTATTGATTTCCTAAGAAACATGTTGCTTGGAGAAGTTACGTAACTTTCCCAAGTTCATACAACTTATTTTAATGAGGTTGCTCATTAAAATCTTGCCTGTTTGTGATCCTATTTTCATTTCTCGTCCTCTTAAGGCATTATCCTAAGAAAGTAGATGAAAAAAATTTTAAAGGCATATATAACACGTACATACCACTAGCTCTGCACTGTAGCACTGTCCTCCCATTGTCATCGATTTGCTCAAGCGGGTCCAGTAATGTCTCCATTGTGAGACTTGTTAACTGTGTTTGACATGTAGAATCCCTCACGGGTAGCTTGCCAGGCTCTGCCATGTGGGCAGGATTCTCTCGGTAGCTTGCCGGGCTCTCCGAGAGGGGCGGAAGAGGGGTGGCCAGGCCGCGGCTTGCAAGGCAACCACCCTACCATTGTGCTATCTCTCCAGCCCATACATATCACATGAGGAAAATTTACATCTTATAATTTAGGTAGTTCTGTATTTCATTCATCCAGATTCACTTAAATAATTCTCTCTACAACTGTGGATAGCAACGAATTCTATTTGCTTAATACCTCTAGTCATCTTCAACTCTTGGCATGAAATTACAGCAGAGAAAAAAGTCAGATTCTGGAGTATGTTGGAGCTTTTGTCACAGTTAGTTTTCCAGGGATGTACTAATGACGCATATGGTTCATCTGTAACTTCCTAAATATGAACTGATCTTAGCAAGTAGGATTTTACTTCACCTAATATTGTGCAGGATTTACCTATTATCCAGGATTTCACTTCACCTATTATTGTTGGCAACAGTTCGAATTTTAAGAAACTTCAGAATTAAATACACTTAATAAGATTTCATTGCTAATTGTATTTGTTCAATTTATTTATATTTGTTTTGGAGGAGAGACCTGAAGTTGCACACAAATAGGGCATTTAGGATGAGTAGTTTGTTAAACTAAATGTTGATGTTTTTCTTCACAATCATAAAATGGCCTACCTTATTTTAAGCCTATTTATAGGGCTGGAGCGATAGCACAGCAGTAGGGCATTTGCCTTGCGCGCAGCCAGCCCGGCTTGTCTCAAAAAGCCCAGCAAGCTACCGAGAGTCTCTTGCCTGCACGGCAAAGCCTGGCAAGCTACCCGTGACGTATTCAATATGCCAAACACGGTAACAACAAGTGCCAAACACAGTAACAAGTCTCAAAATGGAGACGTTACTGGGCCCGCTCGAGCAAATCAATGAACAATGGGAGGACAGTGTTTGTTTGTTTGTTTGTTTGTTTCTATAATGCCTTCATCAAAATACCAGAAACAAAGTTTTATATACTAAATAGTGCGTGCATTTATATTTTAATGCAATGAGTTCATAGAAGATCTCAGATAAAATGTAAAACTACCTTTAGTTTTATTTGAGATTAAGGTCCAATTCTCAGTGATTTTGTATCTCTGTATTTGTCACTGTCACTGTCACTGTCCTCCCGTTGTTCAAGCAGGCCCAGTAACATCTCCTTTGAGATTCGATCTCTGTATTTAGTTTACATAAAACAAAATTTAGCCAAATATGTCAAGATTGTATGCCCAAAAGTTTGCTATTCCATCACAAAACTATATCTGTCTGTGTCATTTGTTTAATTCCCAGAATGTTTTAAACTTTGATCTAGAAAAATGTCGGACTTGAAATAATTTTTCCTCTTGGTCTGTTACTTTTCTGCTCTATAATCATACTGGTTATTAACCGGTACTGTTGGCTATCAGCAATATAATATACTTTCAAATAATCATACAAGATTAGTATTATGAACTGCTTATTATTCTGATAAAAACTTAGAAGACAGTTTTTACTTTGAAATCAACAAATGCTCTAGCGCCCTCTATAAGTTAGAGGTAATCATAAAGATTTCATCACTCTTTTTGGATCCCAACATTCAATGTGAGGCATCTATATAATTTCTAAACTCCAAGGCATCTATATAATTTCTCTTCTTTTTTTCCCTTCCTTGTAGTTGTTTGAAATTACTGTGCCTCTCTCTCAAGGCCCCAAACCAGTAACAATCAGTTTTGCCAATCACACTTCCTGTCGATGCATGTCTAAACTGGACGTTTACAGACAAGTTCATTCAATAATCAGACGTTCCCTGCCAGCAACCCCTCCACAGTGAGTATGAATTAAATCTTTTTTTTAATCTGCATTCTCGACTAATACAAAACTATTTTCACCTAATCATGGTTTCTAAAAAATATTGTGAAATTTGCTCTCCTGTATTTTATGAAGACACATTTGATTGTCATTTGTGAAGACAATTAAATGAAAATAGGGAAGCCCACTGTTACCCAAAGAAGCATTTCTGTGGATTAACTCATAAAGCCCCAATAATAATACTGTCAATAACTTATCCTAATTGATGAACTTTCATGCAAACACTAAAATACATTATTAAATCTAGAACTGTTTTTGTCGTGATGCCATTTTTTGATTACAAACAAAACATCAATGAAAAATACTCTGCACCTATTAATGGTTGTCTTTCTGCTAGCTCAATAATTTTTTTGATCTATATAACTTGCTGTCTTATTACCATAAGAACTGAACATTGAAGTACTATTGAACTGCATAAAATAATTTTCTCTCAATATTACCTCAAATTAGCATTCAAAGTAATGTTTGTATTCCTTCACATCTAATTTCTTGGTTTGTTAAGTAACAGCATATGCTTTGTTTGAACATATAAAAGAAACTAGATAAAGCTTCAAGTATTAACCCTATGATTGACTAATTCTTGAAATCACAGTTTCAGGGGCCAGAGCAATAGTAGAGCAGGGAGTGTATTTGCTTCGCACTTGGCTGACCCAAAGTTCCATCCCTGGCTTCCTTTATGGCCTGCTCAAGCACTATTAGGAGTGATTCCTGAGAGTAGAGCCAGGAGTAACACCTGGCAAGCACTAGATATGGACAAAAAAAAACAAAAAGGAGGGAAAAAAAGAAGCCAAAATTGCAGTTTTATATTGGGTCATCTATATTTAAATATTAAATTAAATATATTTGCTATATTTATGGGCTGGAGCGATAGCACAGCAGGTAGGGGATTTGTCTTGCATGCCACCGGCCAGGGTTCGATTCCTTCACCCCTCTCGGAGAACCCAGCAAGCCACCAAGAGTATCTTGCCCGCACGGGAAAGCCTGGCAAGCTACCCTTGATGTATTCTGTATGACAAAAACAGTATCAACAATCTCACAATTTGTTGAGAGACATTACTGGTGCCCGCTGGAGCAAATCAATGAACAACAGGAGGACAGTGCTACAGTGTTACAGTGCTATATTTATAATTATGCTACTTCTGATAGGTACAAAACCTCAGATTTATTAAATCCCTAAACTTTCTTCTATGGTATCTGTAGTGAGTTTCTCAAATGCTTTGAAGCTTTGAAATTAGACAGTTGTTATTAACTATTTCTCTTCTTGTATTCCAACAAAGTGTTTGCATTATTTGCGGCCCCAGAGAAGCTATCTGTTCCACCCTAGCCATCTATTTTATTTCTGTCTCACTGTCATCATGCACGTCATGCTACATGTGTGTCTGACTGAATGCCGTGATGTCAATACCAGTTTTCTTGTATCAAATCTAACTGCAACTCCTGTGGAATATCATAACTAAGACTTCAAAGGCACCCTTTTATTCCTCTGGCCCGACACAGTCAGTGACTTTCAGCTGCTGACAGGATAGCGCACCAAGTTCTCTCCTGCTGATGCTTTATCACCAATTCTTTCTGGTTTTCTTCCTCTTTGCTCACAGTCTCTCTTTCACCATGTCTGATTTCCTAAGTATCAGCCTCATTTCCTGCTCCATATCTTGTTTCTGTTCTGTCCTTCAGTTCTTTAAAAGAAAAAAAACCTCTTTTTTATGCCTTTGTGAAGACACGGTCTTTTCTTAGAAGAGAAACGTTTCTTTCTCTTGCATTCATCTTGTCTACATGCCACAAACAGCCACATTTGCCTCTTTAATACATTTGCAGTTAATGGATTTGCTTTGTCCTTATATGCATTCAGAAGGTTTTCTAATGTTGCTTGTGACACTGGATTATGAAATTATTTTGGGTAGATTTATAAATTTCTTAAGGGATCAGTTTGACACTACTCAGGAGACTGTATCTGGGGCCAGGGATTGAACCAAGGTCGGTTGCCTACAGGACAAGAACTTTAACTCCTATATGATATCTTTGGCTATTAATAAGTTTTTAGACCTTTATATACATGGTTAAATTTAACCCTCGCAAAAGTCATCAGTGAAGTTGGTAGTTCAGATGCATATACATGATGACTTTTAAGTATCTGTATTTCAAATGATAATATCCAAAAGAAGAGAGAGAGAGAGAGAGAGAGAGAGAGAGAGAGAGAGAGAGAGAGAAAGAGAAGAAAAGTGTGGTGGGGGAAGGGTCCCGGGTGCAGGAGGGAAACTGGGGACATTGGTGGTAGGAAATGTGCACTGGTGATGGCATGGGTGTTGGAAAATGATATGACTGAAATCTAATCATGAACAGCTTTGTAAGGGTGTATCTCACTATGAGTCAATTACAAAATATTTTTAAAACTTTGAAAGTAACACAATAAATAAATATTTGATAAATATTTAATAATGCCTCAAACGACAGCTTGCTAAAATACAAAATGTAAATGTGAAAAGAGAATTGAGTGAAATGCTGAATTCTTATGATCAACTTAGCTCAGTGTCTAAACCTAAGAATCACCAAAGAATAGTATTATCATTAATGTAGCACTGTAGCACTGTCCTCCTGTTGTTCATCGATTTGCTCGAGCGGGCACCAGTAATGTCTCCATTGTGAGACTTGTTGTTACTGTTTTTGGCATATCAAAAAAAACCACGGGGAGCTTGCTAGGCTCTGCCGTGTGGGTGGGGTACTCTCGATAACTTGCTGGGCACTCCGAGAGGGCTGGAGGAATTGAACAAGGGTCAGCCACATGCAAGGCAAACGCCCTACCCGCTGTGCTATTGCTCCAGCCAATATTAACTGTCATTAATATTGATGTCTATTTTCTTGCCCGTGTTTTTCATGTTTTCACTATGTGCAATATGAAATATTTTTATAGTCCTTACCAGTTCATATTTAAATATATATATAAATGGGCATATCTCTCTATACATAGTTCATACATATATATATAGTATGCATAATAAAGGATTTTGTGAGAGGCACATCCAGCAGTTCTCAGGGCTTACTCCCATCTCTGCACTCAGGAGTCACTCCTGATGGTCTCAAGGGACCATATGAGGTATGGGGATTGAACCCCATGCAAGGCAAATGACTTATGTTGTGTACTCTCTTGTCCCTATACAAAGTTTTAAAGTAGGTTAGCCATAAAGTTCACCTGTCTTCATAGAAAACTATAAAGACACAAAGCATTTATTTATAAACATTGCACTTCATTATAGTGCTATTCAAATCTTTTTTCATCGTTATGCCACTGATGATTCTTTTATACATTTTAGCCTAATAACTTCACCCACAAAATTTTAATATAGCAGATCTGTCTATACCTGTTTATATGTTATATGTATATCTGTGCTTTACACATATATAGAAAAGGAAATAGAAAGCTTAACTCAATGTAAATTTTAAAATTATATCATAAAATCATAGTTAAAAGTTTAAAAATATAAAATCAGTTAATATTGAGCTTTACTGTATAACTTCTGGACAATTTTTAAGGTGATAATATATCAAATTGAGGTAGCAACATATCAAATTAACTGCTTACATATTTAGACACCATTTGCATTTTTTCTCAGTATTTGACACAATTGTGGTTTGAAATAACTTTTAAAAATTAAATAATAAAATATGCCATTTAATTCTAAACTCCAGTCATGCACAAAAGCACCAGGGATCCGACCGAGGCAGAAGCCATGGGCCTCAGCCAGCAGGCGCTGCTCACCCAGTGCTAGCCAGTCTCAGGTCAAGTCAGACCTTCCAATCACAGCTATCTGGTCACCAGCATTTTACAAATCTCATTTGCTTATGCTTTAGGTGTCTTCTAAGGCTGACGCCACATTAGTAAGCAGCAGTAAACCCCAAGAGAAATAACATTTTAAAATGAGATCTTTTTGAATTTTGAAAGACCTAAAGCCATTTCAGATCTCATATTTCCTCCTCCTCACTATTCAGTATGGATTCCTCCCCCTCAGGACTCAGTACTCCTCAGTACCCCTCCTCAGGACTCAGTGCAACACTGACTATAGTATTGTTCCCTCTGGAATGCTTCTTTTCCCTTTTTTGCACCAGGCCTCTTACTTGTGATGCCCTCAAATACTTTCTAACTTGAATACTTTCTAACTTGTGTTATCCTCCACCTCTCTCTTTCTCCCTTTCTTTTTCTCTCTCACCCTCTCTCTGTCTCTGTCTCTCTCACTCAAAAAAAAAAAACCATGTATTTTGAGGGACTGGAACAAGAGCACAGTGAGTAGGGCATTTGCCTTGCACACAGCTAATCCAGGTTCAATCCCTGGCATTCCATGTGGTTTCCCAAGCCCCAGCAGGAGTAATCCTGAATAATTTCTGAGTAATTCCTGGCCAAGAGTAAACCCAGAGCATTGCTGGGTGTGGCCTCCCTACTTTAAAAAAAAAAAAGAAGAAGAAGAAGAAGAAAATGTTGAGGGCAAGCGGCCAAGTGAGAGTACAAACAATTGTCATGCATGCAGCTGACCCTGGTTCTATCCCTGACATCCCATATGGTCCCTGAAGTCTACCAAAGTGATTCCTGAGCACAGAGCAGGGCTGGGTGTGGCACACCCCCTCCCCCCAAAAATTGTTTGTCTTACCTGTTGTGAATTGTTAATGTGAATTGTGACCCACTTCAAAAAGTTCTACTCAAAAGATGATTTCCTTTGAGAAATATATATCAATGTTACAGAGTCATTGCTTTTGTAATACTCGGCTATCAATATTTTTTGACATTTTCTTACCTGAGAAATAAAATCTAAATTGGTAAATATTCATTTTTATGGGATTTAAAAGTCAATTGAGGGGCCAACAAGATGACTCAGCTGTCAGGGGTGCAGCTCCAGAAGTGATCTATACCACCTGCCCCCCCCATACCCCTCAGCACTGCTGCCTGTAATTGGGGTAGCCCCTGAACTCGG